TTAAAATACATAAGTTTGTCCAACTCCCAGTGATATCAGTGTGTTTTATAATCAGATCAAAGATGGCCGAATAATGACTGTTTTAATTTTTGGCCAAATTACTACTACACAGAACATGCGTTTTGATGAAAATAAACAATCTGTTGTATACGCCACTTGGAACTCAAGTTTCAAGAACACGCTCGTGACAACCCCTCCGCTTTAATATGATGAGCACAAAGAAAACTTTCAAACATTTAACGGGGACTGTGTCATTTTCAATGACTTGTCATTTAGATAATGTGCTCTATGTTCAATTTTACATATTCACTGGGTTTTAATTTAGTGTATTTTCCACTCAGCGAAATAAGCAAAATTAAAACCTAGTGAATAATTAGCCCTTTTACAGTACACTAAACACTTACACTGCAAAGTGTCTTAAAAAAATATCTATTTTTGTGTATGTATGTGAAAGTGATAATTATAGATACATATAAGCAAAACAGTGTTCTGTTACTAATACATCCTGTTTCCATGTCACAACCACATTCCTGTCTACCAATTCATAGTGACAGTTAGCATCGAGTAATAAATCACATTCTGTCCATAAAACGTGTACAACTCTCCATAGTTCATCAGGGTACATGATTTTCTAAATCATGTAATATGCAATTTAAACATTTAGTTAGTTTGCATAGTGTATTTGTACTGTACAAAAGGTGGCACCAGTTGGGGTTTATTTAATCCCATCGTTGAAAACTCTGAATGTGTTGATGCTCAGCTGCAAGTTCACTGAAACCTTATAGAGTAAAACATGTCTAAAACAAAAATGGTATACTAAAATCTATAAACTCCAGGTTCATAATTTTTTTTTTTTTTTTTTTTTTTACATTTTGCACAGTAACTGTTTGGCAAGAATCAGTCATTCACACTCAAGGATCAATTATTTGCTGTTGTTCTTAAATATACATATTTGTGTTCCTGTTAATAAAACAATCTGTGAGCATTGTTGTCAAAGTAGATCACAATTAGTGCTGGTCGACATTCACATCCTGGTTGGCAAAAATATTCAGTTGACACTTTTTTTAACTGTACATGTATGAATTCTTTGACAGTCCATTCCAGTTAGAAGATGATAGTGGTATATCATACTCTTCAACGGGCTCTATGAGTAAAAATAGTTTAAAGTCTTTACACCATAAAGAAAGAAGTGGAATTGATGGTATCCTGAGTAAGGTTCAGGTAATGCAATGTGTGTTGAATCCTTGTATCTAATAATACAGTGTTTACATCACCAGGATCAATTAAGGTTCATCTACATTTATTATTTTGTTTCTAGCCTTCAAAATTATGTAATTCACCTACCACAACTAGCTCCAACAGTTCAAGTGATGGTAATCATGTCAGTAGGCCATCATTGCACACTGCAATACACAATGTGAAATGTGTAATACACGAACACAGGGGAATTTATCCACAAGTGCAAAAATTAGATGAACAGATCAAGAAGCTAGAAGAACTGATTATGGTAAGTTTGATGCAACATGTTGCAGTTTTGTGCATTCTTTTTTTATAATTTTTTTAATTTATTTATTAAAATTGTAGAAAATTCTGGGGAAAAAATATTCAGGTTTTTATTTCTGAAAATAGTGACGCGTGTATAGAATTCAAATGGTTGAAGTTCTTGTAATTTCTGAGTTAAACGGAGCAAATAGGTTTCAATCATTGTTAAAAACAACATAAAAATGTTGAATGTACTTAATCATGGACCTCATTCTAAAGTCTATGACACAATGCAGACAAAAAAGATAATTTTGTAGCCATGGTATAATCATCATTGTCTGTTATTTGTGCTCGGTTTGTTTTTTATTTCAATTAAATATTAATGATCTATTTACCCATTTACTTAATTCAAGGAATTAGAAAGGCCTTTACACAAATCACTGCCTAGGAATTATAATAGTTATTGTATATTGTTTGTCAAAAACTTTGGTTGTAATTAATTTCAATTTCTAATCAATTTGAACTTGTTGAACTTAATTTTATAATTGCATGTGCAGATGTATAAACTTGTTCTACTTAGTTTTGTGTGACCTAAAAGGAGAAATTGTGATTCACTAAGACCATACAAATTGTGATTCACTAAGACCATACAAATTGTGATTCACTAAGACCATACAAATTGTGATTCACTAAGACCATACAAATTGTGATTCACTAAGACCATACAAATTGTGATTCACTAAGACCATACAAATTGTGATTCACTAAGACCATACAAATTGTGATTCACTAAGACCATACAAATTGTGATTCACTAAGACCATACAAATTGTGATTCACTAAGACCATACAAATTGTGATTCACTAAGACCATACAAATTGTGATTCACTAAGACCATACAAATTGTGATTCACTAAGACCATACAAATTGTGATTCACTAAGACCATACAAATTGTGATTCACTAAGACCATACAAATTGTGATTCACTAAGA